AAACTTTTGGCACTGCCTCAGTCCAACGCCCTCTGAGAACAAACCCAAGCGTGAGTAACTTCTGCATCATGTTGGAACTGCCTCTTTAACTCAGCCCCGACACAAAACGTTCCTACAGGCAGAGACAGCTGTAAACCAAGCAAGTGTAAAATGATTAAAAAAAACCACACCCCACACCGCATGGAGAAATCCCAAAGGATTAGTGTCAGAAAATATTTGGCAGCAGGGACTGGAGCAAAGATGAAGACCTAACAGAAGAGAGTGGCTAACGCCATCATTGCAGGGGATGTTGTTACAGCAGAACTGCTGCAGGGAGGTTTTGGTTACTCCAGCTTTTCATCTCCTTCCTCCACGTCCTTCAGGCTGAGCACTTCCAGAGTTCCCTTCCCCTTCGTCTCGCTGCGGATCAGCTCGTCGATCTCTCTGAAGCACCCGGGGTCGATAAGGCACACCTGAAATGGTGCCCGTGGCAGCAGTCAAGCAAGGATCTTGGATCTGCATCAGCCCTTTTCAAGGTCTAACATTGATTTTAATTTTAGAAAAAGATAGTTTAGTTGCTGAGGACTTTGTAGATAGTTGGTAAGAGATTTCTATCAAGTAATCTTTCCACACAAGTTCCCTCCACCTCCCCACACTAGGGATGTCTTTTGACAGCTGGTTTTGTGAGATTCTAATCTGTTCTCAGAAAGATTTTTACTAATACCAAATGTTGCTTTACCACAGGCTATTTGTTTAAAAAAGTACTTAACCACTGTCAAAACACTTTCAAACTTACATCACTAGGTCTGTGTGAAATAAGACCCTACAAACTACATGTCTGATTTAGAATCTCTGGGAAACTTGCAGTTTATCTGAACACTTCCATATATGAATTCACCTTGTAGTAAAAAGTACAGGTGTAGTCAAGTACAAACCCCATGAACTGCTTTGGCACTTACCATTTCCAACTGCTCGTGGAAATCTTCACTCTCAATAACTTTAATCAGTGGCTTCAGCCTCTCTTTCAGTTTCTTCCCCTCCTTTACTGGAAGGATGAATCGCAGCCTCATGTGAGCCCGTTCAATCTGCATGGTCTCCTTTAGCTGCCTGATCACTTCCAGAGCCTGTAAAAGACATTAAAGGAGAAAGAGCATTTACAGACCTGCTTAAAAAACACCACACAGATCAAAACCTCAAAGCCTCTGCCTCGGCTTCAGACATGCTTCTCATGGAATCATTAATCACAGAATCACCAAGGTTGGAAAAGACCTCTGAGATCATCAAGTTGGATTTGAACCATCAAGTTCTCAGTACTGGTCACTGCCCCTGGGCTGCAGGGAGTTGTGGTTATGCTATTTGGATAGAGTAACAAGAACAGGCCGAGTTCTTGCTGTTCATCATCGCTTCAAATACTTAAAATCCCTGTTGGAAATATCTGGCCAAAACCTGACCTGCTGCTTTGTGCTCTTGTGTGGCTTGACTGAGTAGTGGATGTCCTTCATGGCTCGCTCGATGAGGATGACTGTGTAGGGCCTCTTTGTTTCAGGATTCACACATTTGTCAGCCACGATAGTCGCGATGTCTCTGAACATCTGCTCCAGCTGCGTCTGTCGTTCTTTGTCTGAGACCTGCAGCTCCCCTTTGGATAAAATCTGGACAGGAAAAATAAAGAGATCAGTTAATAAACAGCACAGACTTGACTAAAGAGTCCTAGGAAAACCTTCCAATAACAAACCAGCCTACCGTGTCTGCATGAGCCTAATGGAAAACACTCAGAAAGTAGTTTTATAAAGTGAAGTGTGTGAAACCTACCATCTTACAGATTTCTGTTTGGTCATCGGTCCCAAATGCTTGGACAAGATCTTCCTTCTTTGCCACCTGGCCTTTGGAAACATTGACAAACACCGTGTGTGTCTGCAGGACCTCGTCGAGATCTTTCTCCCTAGAGATCAGGACAGGATTAGAAAACTTGTGAAGTCAGCAACGTAGGAGCACATGAGGTTCTAGCGAGGGAGAAGAGTTCCTGCTGCCAAGGGCTGAATCAGTGGAGCCTGGGAGCTTTCATTACTGTATTGTCACTGCCTGTGGAAGGGCAGGGGCACTGCACAGCACCTCGGGGTGCTCCCCCTGCCCTGGCGTCTCCCCGTGCTTCATGGCCAGGTACTGTGCGAGCTCCTGGGCTCCACCCGGGTCCCCCTCTCCCTTCACAGCCGAATCCCCACATGGGTCTCTCTCTCTCCCCACAACCAAGCTGCACACGGGTCTTCTCCCCCCACAGCTGGGCACCACACAGATCTTTC